TATTAATAAATTTAAAATATAAATATTATCAATTTAATTTATTTTTAAGTAAAAAATAATTTTATTATAAAAATTATTAAAAATAATCATTATTAAAGTTAAAAATTATACTATTGTATTTTTTTTATTAAAATATAATACTAGAAAATAATATCGAATCATAACAATAAATAAAATCATCATCAATATATATATATTAGTATTTTATATAATTTTTAATAAGAATATTTTAGTTTTTTTTTAAAACGCCGGAAACTGCTACCAAAATGCAAGTTAGAAGCTGCGATTAGAAAATACAAGTTTGGTTACAGGTGCGGGTGATTGCGGTTCAACCAATCAGTTTTTCAATCGCCCGCAATTGTCAGAAATCGCAACCGCTCCGTTTGCGGGTGTCGGCGGTACAATCAGTCACCCCCTTAACTAGGATGTGCTTATAGGAGTAGGGCAAAGCAATGAAATGGATTCTTAGTCACCAAGATCCAATGAGACATTATGTAATATATATTGTTCCCGAAACTCGCATTTTCAAACGTCCACTTTGCCTCGTTGGTTAAGGGTGCGTTTCTTTTTTCTTTTATAAAAAAAAATAATATATTATGACATTGCATGTGAGATGCTTCTCTTACCGATAAGTGAATGCCATATCCATGATTTGATACTCTCCCATAATTCCATTTTAGAACAAATTGTGTGTGTATATATATATATATATATATATATATATATATATATATATATATATATAGGAATGTTAATGCAAACATGGGAATGATGTGATCATTAATTTGTCTTACAATGTCTATGTAAGTGGTCGGCTCTTTCCAAGCCATTCTTTTGGTGGAATCACACGAAGGAGACGCAAGTGGCCTTTTGGAGGGAGACCTTTTCACACAATGCATGTTCTCTGTCTCTGCCACCTCTGCCCCTTTTTAAGGTATCATTGTCGTTTTATTATTATTATTATTGTTGTTGTTGTTGTTATTACATTTCGAACGTAATATAAGACAAACACAATTTTTTTTACATAATTTTCAGACCCTTTATTTAATATTTTGGTCCGACACTACACATTACGTGAGATGACTTACAACACATGTTTTGTTTTTTGCCAACCAAATCGTAATTGAAACCATTATTCATATTATGATTCGGGATATCAATCAACCCATGATTTCCACAGAACACGTGGACTAAATATAGGTATTTAGCCCATGGGCCCATTGTAAACCGAAACAAAACTCAAGCAAATAGGCCCAATTTAGTTAATATGGGCCCCATAAAAAATATATATGTATTTAGCCCGTGGACCCATTGTTATTAATATTGGCCGCATCAAAATGCATAAGCTTCTAATGGGCCGAACTGTTTAGCATCCGGATTTAAAAATAATTTGGGTTGATATATCTAAATTTCATAACTAGATAGATAACATGGGTGTATATATAATATATGCACACACTCACACACACATAACACACGCAGAAACATATAAATATAAACATATCTATCATACTATAATGAAAATTGGTTTCATAAATGGAATCTTTTAGATTGAGTTACTTTAAATAAATGGACTTGGGTTACATGAAAATGAAAATATATACGCATACATTAATATATATATATATATATATATATATATATATGCACACACACACATATATATGTTTACTTTTCCCTCGAAATGGGAACTGCTTGATTGGCGATGCCCGAAATGTGAAGTACAATCAGACATTATATGTATCATCATCAAAGTGGATAGAGCAAAATGGAATAATATATTTTTAGTTGACATTTATTGTTTAGGGCAATAAAGAAATCCTAAACGTACGGACTATATGATCTAATAATATGCATTATTACATTTTTGTTATTGACATAAATTTAAATCACTTTATTTCAAATTTGCGTTTCTTTTAAGATGTGACCGAATGTACTAACGTCGATATATTTATATCTATTAAGGTGATATGTGTTTACTTTGCCAATTTTTTTCTTCGTTGTTTAAGTTAGTGAGTGCATTTTAATGCAACTATTATAACGAATATTTAGTATATCACAGAATTTCATTTAATTATACCGAGTCATCGTTTGTACGTTGCCAAAATTTTACGTGGAATGACCAATTGAAAAACAAAATTTTTTATCCGATTTTTTCGGTTTTACAATCAATATTGTAATGGTCTACCACCATATTCAAGAATAAAAAAATTGAAAATATCCAAATATTCATCATTTTTTTTTCATTTTTAAAAATAATATAATGTATAGTAACCATCCGTACTTTATATTATATTCCCGACTCTAATTTGAATCGTGGAGGAAACAGGAAATAGGAAGAAGGAGAAGAAAACATCGTCCCTCTCCAATGTATTGTGCCTGTTTGCGTTGAGTTCAGATCTACGGCTACGATTAGAGATCAACCAATCGGACGGTTATTAAGCCATCTATCACTTAAAAAACGACATCTTAATTTTTAACCCGGGAAAATCTAATCCCAATGCGCAAAGACCACACCCGCGCATGTTAGCAAAGTTTGATCGTAATTACCAAAATACCCTCACTAGACACTAGTACTGCAGGGATTCCCCAACTCTGAACGTTAAAACGTCCCCTTGTGGGCTTTTCCCCTACAACTCGTATATATATATATATATAAACTTCGGCCTTCCATCGGGAACGAAATAACGCCGGCCGGGAAATTCTTCTCCGGTAAATCTCTGGAGTTCGTCGGCAAAAAGCAAGAGGAGTCGTTTTTTTCGTTGATCTGTTTGGGTTTCGAGGTTTGATCGAGAGGAGGAACAGAGAGAATAGTGCACCGATCAATGGTGTTGCCTGGGGAGAAAGACTTCATGGAGACGGGACCTGAGCGATCGAAGAATCTCCACAATTTCACCCTCCCGAACTTGAAGTGGGGGAGTCAGCGTCATCTCAGGTGCATGAAGGTTGATCTGGCGAGAGGCGGCGGAGGCGGTGTCTCTGGCGCCGGTGATCACCGACTCCGGCGCCGATCGTCTCATTTGAAATTCGAAACCTTGACGGAGGCGATCCCGGTTCAATTCGGTTATGCTGACGAACGGAGCAACAACCAGCACCGGCGATTGAGGACGGCGCCGTCGAGATCGGCGGGGAACGGCAGCGAGGAAGGGATCGAGGAGTTCAGGGAGAAGATCATGTCGGATCTAAGGACGGTGGCGGACAAGATAACGGAATCGATTTTTAGGAAACAAGCTTTAGGGGACGAAGAGCAGACCGATGGTGGGAGGCAAGAGAAGGAGAGACGGAGAGATAAACAAGAGGAGAAGGAGAAGGAAACGCAGAAGGATAGGGAGGTCTCTCCGGTGATGGCGGCGGCGGCGGCGGCTGAGGCGAGGCCGTGGAACCTAAGGACGAGGAGGGCAGCCTGCAAGGCCCCGATTCCCGGAGCCGGTAACAGCAACGGGAACCAGTACAACGGCTTCAATCACAACAACAACAACAAGGGGTTGAAGATTGAGGAGAGAAGAGTGGATTCGTCGTCATTGAGGAATGATTCGGAGAAGTCGCCGAGGGTGAGGGAGAGAGGCGGAGTAACCGTGGCCATGGCGGGAGTCGGGACGAAGGAGCGGCCGAAGTTCTCTTCGCGCCTGTCGCGGAAGGAGATCGAAGAGGATTTCATGGAGCTTCTGGGTCACCGACCGCCGCGCCGTCCCAAGAAGCGTCCCAAAACCGTTCAGAGACAATTGGATGTAAGTCTCCGATTTCTCACAAACCCTGAATTTCCCTTTCGCTCAGATCGAATTTCCCAATTTTTCCGACTCGGTCTGCGAAATCGAATCTCTCTCTCCTGATTGTGTGTTTCCTTTCTTCTCTCCCATGTCTGTAGTTCTTGTTTCCCGGCTTGTATTTGACAGAGGTTACGCTTGACACCTACAAGATTCCGGAGTCGGTAGAGAATGGAAAGGTATCGGATCTCTTCTTATCTCACTGGGTTTTTCCTGTTCCATATGATTTCAGATGTTGTGATTCAAACCCAGATCATATCGCAGTAAAGTATGATTCTTTTTGGTTTACTGTTTCCTCAGAGATGACGATGATGATGGGGTCGTACAGTTCCTTAACCAGACACACAATGGATGCTTAAAACTGGAAATCAGGTGGAAAAAGCGTTGAAGGTCGTGGTGAAATCTTGTTCAAGTTTCGTATGCTTTTGAACTGCTAATTTTTGTTTCTTAATTATTCTTTTCTCAGTTGTTGTCTTCCCCAAATGGCTGAACTGAATAAACCTGTACAAAGTTATGGGACACAGTAGGTCTTGTTTCATTGTTCTGCTTCGTTTTCAGGAACTCGGGTTTACATTCGTAAAGTTCATTCCTTTTTCCAAATTTTCATGTCCTCGATTTCATTCTGCAAAACCCCACGCCAATAAATGGCAAATGGGCTCACTTCCACTCTCCTCTCTTGACCTTTGCTCTGTTCTTGCCATGGCTCTGTCTCTCATTGTCCACTTCAAGAGCAGTTCATGAAGCTTCTGTTGAGTTTTGCATCAAGTGCATTTACTTTTCCTGGTTGTTCTGTCTGAAATGTCTTTGCTGATCCATACTTATCGAACCTTCCAAATAGATCAGAGGTTCAGAATTTTGAGGATATTTTGACCCAAAGCAAGATCCATCAGTAGGAACAACTTACATATATACCCTCGTGATACCACGGCAAATGGACCGAAGTGGTTCGATCTTATGTTAAAAGATCATTGTTGTGTGCCAAATTGCCGTGTGGGGCATCCATTTTTTTTCCCGCGTCGGCTGCTCTCTGGAGTTGACACAGTCTTCGCCGGTTGACCAGATTTTGGTTCGGTTCAATTTCTTAACCGGATAAACCCGAATTCCAATATCATTGTTAACCGAATCCCCGTGTTTGGCCAATTTGAAGGCAGGGGCATATTGGACTAGTGATGTCAAAATGAACCAAACTCGTGAGCGAGTTCGCGGTTGGCTCATTTTTTGCCGAGTCGAACTGAAAAAATAGAAGACCAAATAAAAACGGGATGAACGAACCAGTTCGCTGCGAATCCGAACCAGTTCGCGAGCTGGCACAAAAAATATTTTTTTGTTGTAAAAATTGAAAATGCAAGTGAAAATGAAAGTGGATATCAAAGTGAAACTGATGATGTAGAAAATTAGAATTCATAATATATTAGCGTTGGTTTATGTCTTTTATTATATTTTTATGTTGGTTGGTGTATCATATTTTTTTTTTGTTTGATGACTTGAGATAAGATTTTTTATTAATTTTTTTTTATTTTGATATAGTTTTATGGATTATCATGTTAAATATTTTATACTATGTTGAATGACTTTAAATTATTATAATGTAAACTTTAAATAATTAATTTTTATATAATTTTAAAAGATTTTTCGGATAATTAGATAAATATGAGTTGGTTCACGAGTCGACTGGTGCCTTAGATAATTTGGTCTGGATCAGAATTTTTATTTCTCATAAAAAAATGGGTCACGAGGAGTAAAAAATGAGTTGGCTCGGAATAAGCTGGTCTGGTTCGATTCAAACCAACCTGCTTTACATAACTATACCGGATCCAATTGCAGATAAATATAATCACAAATTCACAATGATGAAATTCATCTTTGGTGTATATTTTTACAAAAATCCAATAAAAATATTAAACAAATGTTCAAATAAATAAATAATTTTTTTAATTCGGTATAAGCATATCAATTATTTAAATTGTTTTATAAAAAATACAAAAATAATAAAATGTTATTGAATTTTCGCCAAATTTGAAATATATATAATTTTGGTGGAAATAATATTTTGAAAAATGAGATATTTTATTATATAAATGCTAAATAATTAGTATATTTTATAAAAATTATATGTTTATTTGGGAGTCTTTTTACATTAATATATTCCGTTTTTTTTTTTAATTATTACAATGCCGAGATCTAATCACCTCAGCTCGTTCATTGTTGTTCGACAGTATATACTAATCATTTTTGGGATTTACAGACAATGGTCACATGCTACATAACCCCACATGTACCGTCAATACTCCATCAATTAAACAAGCTGGAAAACATTTTTGCCGTCTCCCGTAAGAAAAGAAACAGAGGAAATGCTATATCATCTTGTTTCTCTTGTTCATCTTACCAGTACAGAGAGATCCGAGGCCGAAGAATCCGACAGTTGCATTGGACATGAACGTCGGCGGCGGGAAATTCAGGACAGGACTCACTCGAACTCCTCCGTTGCCGTTGTTGTTATAAGCTCCGAAGCTGTTCCTGTGAAGTGGCTTCTGGGTTGAGATCGAGTGATATGAACAGTTTGCGGCTGAATTTGAGAGGGAAGATGATCTTCTCAAGAGTGATGGCCGTCTAGGAGGATTCTGGTTCTTGTTGTGATGGCGGGTTTCCTTGGGAAGCAAGTTAGGTTTAGGGCTTGGTGCAGAGCCAGTGGAGTTGCTTCGTGAGAGGAACTGCAGCGATCTGATGAGCCCTTTGCTTCGAGTTGTGTCGTAGTTTAGGCTTATGCTTCTCTTGAACTGCAAAAACAATCTTGACGATGAAGATGACGAGGGCTTGTCGTCGAGATCTGGGTCGGGATTCAGAAGGAGCTCTTTCAGTCTCTTCTTCTCTGTTGGTTTCTGGTTGCAGAACGAAGAAGAGGACGATGACGATGACGATGATGATGATGGTGGTGATGTTCGTTGAATTAGAAATGGTTTCTGGGCAAAATGTTTGTCTTCCTTGATCTGGAAAGGAAGAATCTTGCCATTGGAGAACAACTCATCAGCCGAGGAGAGTTCTTGAACGGAGCAACTCGAGCCAACGCAGAAATCGAACTCCGAATCCGAATCCAATCTGACTTCTTCGCCGCCCGCCTGATCAAGATCGTACGAGAAAGATATCCTCGGACTGATTCCAGAACTCGGAGACTCTGAGGAACAGACGTCGATCGCCATAACTGTCTTCTTCAAGAACCCGTCTTCCTCTGCACATTCAAGAACCGAAACAATGGCCGGGACGAAGAAGAAACAGAGCCTTGATTCGGAAAGAGAAGTAAAAAGCAGAATCGAGAAGATTTGGAGTTAAAGCTAAGCAAAGAAAATGGAGATTCGAAGCAAGAAACGGAGGAACAATGATGAAGAAGACGATGAGACAATAGGAGATGGAGGGGATGATTCAATTCACAAGAAAACAAAAAGAAAAAGGAGAAAACTAAGGAGAGGGAAAATAAAAGGATCGTAAGAATTCAATATATATGCACCGAAAGCGATAATCAAAGATACTTCTTCCAAGGTTTATTTTTTAATGGTAAAATAATAATACAAATATATTTTTATTGCATTAAAATAAATAATACGCAATTTGATGAGATTTACGAAAGAGATTCGAGAAAATCAAAGCATAAATCATTTCGGAAAAAGACACTTCTATATCTTTAATTATTATTACACAAATGGGCCATGAAGGCATGAACTTCTTCTGCATTTCATAATACATATCATTAGTTTTTAAATATATATGACATATTATTGGTTAGCAATTTTGGAATTTTCAAATGTAGTCATTGTATGAATTATTTATCAAATAAATAATATATTTTAGATTTCTTTAAATAAAATTTCAAATCAATAACAAATCACAAATCGAGTAAATAATATATTTTATCATGGTTTTTTTGTTTCTAATTTTTTTCTTCATCAAATAAGTTTTAGCTTTTATTTCGTCAGCAGAATTCCGTTAAAGTGAGAATAATTATCATTTTTTAAACAATTTATAAATATCTAGAATTATTTTATTCTAAATCAATACAGAAATTTTAACTTAATATAGCAACATTTCAATTATATTATTTCGTTAATATAAATAAGAAATAAAATTATAATAACTTAATATATAATCATTAATGAATCTTTTTATTTAACCGTTGTAATGTGGGACGCAGTTAAAAAAATATATCATGATATCAATAATTTATCTTATAGTCAAATATATAATTAACATAGACAACTTTTACTTCCTTATAATCATAATTATATTTAAACAATTGTGGTTCCTTTTAACAACTTTTACTTTTTGTCGAAATGACATCTAATCATAGCGTTGTTTTATATTTGAATTTACCATTCTAGTGCAAATTATTCACGATAGATCCAATCAATGTATTGTAATTAGTTGATGTCATCATTAACATTTCAAAATATAAAATAATAGAATACTATTAAAAATTCATAGTTTAAACAACAATAAATCCCAAAAAACTTACAAAAACAACTACAAATATATAACTTTTTATTAATGTGTCTATTAATTTTATTTATTTTTAATTCGACTTAAAAAATAATTATGATACTAATTTATCTTTATACATTTATTTTTTTATCATAATTGGAATAATTAAATTAATAAATATGACAAATTTTGAACGATTTATAAGAGATAAGGGATAGATGTTTATTGTAACTCTGGATAATTAAGATTTTAATTAAATGGTTATAGAAAATTAAAATATTTAGGCCTTTTAGTTTATTCAGATATATCCTAATCTAATAACATAACACGAGGTTAAGATTCGACTAGGACCAATAAATCTCTGAACATTTGGACTTGCGTTATTTTTTTTCCTAGTGTCCTTTTTACGTCTATACAAGGTAAAACAATCCTATATATATATATATATATATATATATATATGTTTGTAATAAAAGAAAGTCATATATTAAATCTTATACAATCCCATAAACTCCATTGGATACTGTTAACGAACTATTTTTTTTTGTAAACGAATTTTCTAAACCAAGACCCAGATTAATACCGGGGTCGAATATTAATCGGATGATTTGGAATATACGATCTCCTCCCAAATTTAATGTTTAAATTTTGGACAGAATAAACGCTTTGCACCTCCATTGTAACAGTTAAACTATCAATGTTTGAGTTAAGGTACAAAACTATTTTGGCTTTGAATGATAATGGTTTTATTTTGGTTTTTTATCTTTTAGTTTTTTATTTTTGTAGTTTTTACAGGTTTTAGAAAAATTGATTGGTAGAATAATATTTTAGTTTTTGATTTAATATTTTAAAAATTATAAAAAAGGTTTTAAACATTAAAACAAAAATCATATCTATTAATATTAGTAATAACAATATAAAATAACTACAATATATATTTTGGATAGTTCCATTACAATCACTTAAATTATAAAATATTTTTTTTAAAAAAATATAAATTAAGATAAAAATGGTAAAAATATTGTCTTTATATAGATATAGGTATAATGTAAAATTATTCTTAAAACAATGAATATTTTTTTATCTTTAAAATAATTTATATAATTTTTTTTAATAAAAATAAAAAAATATAATAACAAATCTCTAGAATCTATAAAAAAAATTCTAAAATCTAGAGAATAGTGGTTTTCACCTTTTACGTTGGTTTCTTAAAAAACAACTTTTCGGATTTTTAGAAAAATTAAAATAAAAAATCATAATCGGAGATTTTTTAGGCTTTGAATGGTAGTGGTTTTTATTTTGGATTTTTGGTTTTAGTTTTTGGTTTTTAGTTTTTAGTTTTTGGTTTTTGGCTTTTGGCTTTTATAAGTTTGTAAATCTAAAAAATTGTAGTTTTTGGTTTTTAGTTGATTTTTTCCATAAAGTAGATTTCCAGGTTTTTAGGAAAACCAAAATTTAAAAAACTTGATTGTTGGTTTTTTCAGTTTTTAAAATCCAAAAACTCCGAAAACTACCTCCCATTCAACACCTTATATTTTTAACTTTCAAAATTTGGAAAAACCATTTCCAATCAAGATATCTGTTTAACGAAATAATAAAAATTTAATCGCAAAATTGATAAAAGAAAAGTACAAAACTCCACTACCATAGATCGTGTTCTATGAATGGCCATTAAATTAAAACTATGAATTTAAATAATAATAACAGTTTTCGTGCATATGAATACAAGATCGAAAGTGGTGGTTGGTCTGAGAAAACGTCCCAAGCGGTATATTCGCGGCCTGTTGTCTTCTCGCCCACACGCGAAACACGACGCCGTTTTGTCGTTTCGCACCCTTGACGGTCCTAGTTCTCCCGGTTTGTGTAGTTTGTGTGGCTGACAGTACGCCACGTGGCAAACAGATAATTGGGTATGGGCGAGATAAACGAGCGGGCCTAAATCAGGCCAAGTCTCTGGTCAAATGTTTTGGACCCGACCCGTTTCCGAAATCTCTGATCCATGGCCATGAATGAGCTTTTATTATTTAATTTACTAATAATAATAATAATATATTTGGACTAAATAAATAATAGGAAACTCAACTTGGTTGTGTGGTAAATACAGAACCACGGATTTGTTACAAATAAAAGCCACACATGTATATATATATATATATGTAAATAATGAAAATATAATATAATTAAATAATGAATAACCCAATTGATTAACTGCTTTTGTTGTTTTCACAATTCTCTTTCCTGTCTCTCACTCACATCAGACAAGATATTGCAATAATTTCAATATTAAATAATTTTGACACAATAGTTTCCGGAGCTCCGAGAAAAAAACCCGGAACCGACCGACAAAAAAAAGAAGAAAAGTGAGGAACCAAGGAATAACCGTTTTTATGAGGGTAATAACAACCTTTTCTTTATATAAAGACCAAAATCTCTCTGTCACTCTTTCTCTCTGCACCACCTCACCTTTCCATTTCCTCCGGTTTCGCCATCCTCCTCTGCATCGATGACGAAATGGACGGAACCAAGGAATAACCGTTTTTATGAGGGTAATAACAACCTTTTCTTTATATAAAGACCAAAATCTCTCTGTCACTCTTTCTCTCTGCACCACCTCACCTTTCCATTTCCTCCGGTTTCGCCATCCTCCTCTGCATCGATGACGAAATGGACGCCAAAGGAGCCCCGCCGCAACGGACTGGGCGGCGGAAACGTCGATGGTGACGCCGTCTCCGGCGGATTGGTGAGGCTCCGGTGCTCTGTGCAGAACTACGACTGGGGGATCGAGGGCCACGATTCCCAGGTCGCGAGGCTCTTCTCCCTCAATTCCGGGTCGGGCATTGATCCGCTCAAGCCTTACGCCGAGCTCTGGATCGGGACTCATGAATCGGGTCCATCCTTTGTTGTGGATCGCGATGGCGACAACAATGGCGGTGATGTCGGCGTCGTCGGGTTGGGTTCCGTGAGCCTCAAGTCGTGGATCTCGACGAACCCTAATGTGCTCGGACACAAGGTCGCGAGAAAATGGGGGAATGATCTCCCTTTCCTGTTCAAGGTTCGTGAAATTTCTTCAATTTCCAGATGCGTTTCAGTGGATGCCAGTTCTGTATTAGAAACTGAGAACACATTGGTGCACTTCATTCGCTTGATTGGTTTTTCATAATCTTGGATTTTAGTGAAATAATTGGATTGTTTTGCATAATGCCAATCCGATGAGCAACATTTCTGTGAATGTTTTCAGGTGCTATCTGTGCAAAATGCACTATCAATACAAGTGCATCCAGATAAGGAATGGGCGAGAATTCTGCATAAGTCGCGGCCAAGTGTATACAAGGATGATAATTATAAGCCAGAAATGGCATTGGCGATTACTGAGTTTGAAGCACTCTGTGGATTTATCAGTACCAAGGTAAAAGTTGATGTGAGATCTTTGCAGGTCTTCATGATGCCATTTTCTTGTTCGTCGGATGTAAGCTGGTAGATCGATTGTTCCCATCTGAAATTGAGAATCTATGGCTTACGGATTTCAAAAGGCATGTTCTTGGAATGGAAATGTTTTGTTGGGTTTCGTTATATTCACGTGACGATCTTGATGCAAGAATCAATCAGGAATGACTAAAGCCGTTTATTTTCTCAAGATCTTTTCATATGAAGTTTGATGCTTTGTATCAGGAATTACTAAGTTTACCAGCCTTGCTACTGATTCTGATTATGAATTTTCTCAAAATCTTTTCGCATAAAGTTTGATGCTTCGTGAACAGGGCAACTTATCTATCTGATCTTGTGGTTGTGGTGGATATGTTCCTTAGGAACTGAGGGAAGTGCTTCTTACTATTCCTGAGATTGTGGAACTGATTGGGTTGGAGAACACAGAGAAAGTTCTATGTATGAAAGAGCAGGAAAAAGATCAGGAAGCCAAGTCTATCTTAGAGTTCATCTTCGCCAAAATTCTCGTGTCAAGTCAAGAGAGAATTTCTGATACCATAACGAAACTCAAAAGGCGATTACAGACAGAAAAGAAGGTGATCTCATCAAACCATTCTTGTGATGCTCTTTATTTTACCATAAAGAATTGCTTTAGATCAGCTTATAACTTTTGATGGTTTATATGTATAAGGTACTGCATATACTGAATCTTGTTGATATGAATAGATTCCAAAGTCTGAAGTTTCAAACACAAATTGAACATCCGATGTGAGATCTTTGCAGTTCTTAAGTATATAAAATGACCCGGATCATTCATCTTACAAAATTTTCGGTTGATTTGATGCAGAAAAGGCTGCTCAGTGATAAAGAACAGTTGGTGCTCAAGCTGGAGCGGCAGTATCCAACCGACACTGGAATTCTTGCAGCGTTTTTGTTGAACTACGTGAAACTGAATCGAGGTGAAGCTTTGTACTTGGGACCAAACGAGCCTCATGCTTACATCCGCGGAGAATGCGTAGAGTGTATGGCAACCTCGGACAATGTCGTTCGTGCCGGTCTCACTTCCAAGTACAGAGACACTAAAACCCTTCTCTCAATGCTTACGTATAAACAGGTAAAACAACTCGCACCCATCCGAACACTTCCATCCCCTTCTCGGATTCAACCTCTAAATTAGGGTTTTTCCACGTGCAGGGCTTCCCCGAGATATTACGAGGGATTCCTCTGAATCGTCACACGAAGAGGTATCTCCCACCATTTGAGGAATTCGAAGTTGACAGATGCATCTTAGGAGAAGCAGAGTGGACCGTGTTCCCGTCCGTGGCTGGGCCATCGCTCTTTATATGCCTTACAGGACAAGGAACGATGGAATCCGACGAGGGTCACAGACCAGAAACCCTAGGAGAGGGTGACGTACTGTTCGTGGCGGCTAACGTGCAGGTCAGGGTAACGGCGGAGTCAAGGGAGATGGAATTGTATAGAGCTGGAGTTAGCAGCAGATGCTTTCAGGCTTCTTCATGAAAACTCTTCAGAGTAAAATTTTATTAGTCACAAGGGAAGGGTATGTGAAATTCATTAGATTTTCTTCAAAGTCACACCCATATATATGTATATCTATTTATACTATATATGCGATGCGGTTGAATGTTAAATAAAATTCAACTACGTTGGTGTTGAATCCATATGATTGTTGTAACTTTACCCAAAAAAAAACTTTTAATAATATAATTTCTCTGTTATTTTTCGTTGATATATGTATATATATGCGTGATCAAAGCTTCTAATCAACCAACGTTTGCTCTTGTTGACTTAAAAAGGATGACTTGTATAGTTGTATATTTTGTATCAATTTGTCAAATTAATTTATATAGTATATAATAATTTTTATTGGAATTCTAATTGAAAAAAAACATATCAATTATAAGATACATTCTCTATCAAATATATTTATTTTAAATTATTGGAGTGTTGGAGAGCAAGAAAATTAAAACAATAGAATGATATACATACAAAAACATTTTCCCGTCAAATTAAATCAAATAATTACATACAAGTGCCCATACATTTTAAACATTAGAGAGAAATTAAATTCCGTTTTTACCCTTATGTTTGGTTTTTTTTAAAACATTATTTACGGTGGAATATTCCAATCTCTCAAATTCGGCTTTTTGATGAAGCAAACACCGTCGTAAAGAGACGGCTCCGTCTCCTCTATTATTACCGTTTAATTCGTCGTCCTTAAACCCTAGAGTCGTCTTCTCGGGGGAATATTACCCAAATAACCCACTTGGATCACATTAATTTCAGGTACACCACCCAAAAAAAAAAAAAAAATTTTTTTCAATTTTAACCCACTTTTCGGGTGAAAAAGTCTAAAATACCCTTTTCGTTTTATTTTTTACGACCTTTTTGCGACTAACATATAACTGATATACAACTAAAATAAGACGGATGATTTTTTTTGCCACCTTTTTATAACTATATTTAGAATTAATTACGAAGTCGTAATAACGAAGTTGTTTTCGAACGGATAAATATCCTGATTCATTAAGGGTAATTTCGTCTTTTTACGGAGAAAAAAATGTGTTATATTTTTTCTGGTGTACAGCTGAAATACATGCGACCCATCTAGTTCATTTGAGTGAAGAACCCTCTTCTCGGGGGCCATTGTTTCCGACATGGTTGTGAAAGAAGATAGCTCCGGACTATGTCTTGTGCTCTTCTTTGAAGATCGGATTGGACGAACGAACCGCTCT